AAGTGAATAAAGGGCTTTAAACAATCTTGACTAATGTAATTTAAGCTTGGAGAGGCAAATAAATCATCAGTATTCTTAAAGACTGAAAAAGCATACAACAGACTTTTTTCTAGTTTCCCATTTTTAAACAATTGCCTTTAAAGTTAAAACACCATTAAAAAAAAAATCAACAAAAAAGATAGTAGTCTTCTGCTAATTTCAAAATAAGTATTGTATTAAAATGTCACCAGCTCATTAAAGAAATGGATGTTTTCAATTCAGGTTGGCACTGCTTAAAGTACTGGCTGTTGAATAATTCAGTAAGTCTGACAACTGTATAAGTTTAAAGTCCAGAAAATACAGGGAAAATATACATGCCTAAATTCTCAAATCTGAAGAAGCACCAAGCAAACAACACTTCAATATACTTATATCCAAGTTAGAACACATCTGGTTGAAATTTAAAAACAATTTTGCATTTTGATGCTGATAAATCACATAAACTGATTTTTATCACTGTTTGAACACCAACAGTGCATTTCTCTTTCATACCCCACCCTATGAACCTTCTCAGATTCAAACATACAAGCAATGAAAACACTTAAAACTCTCTGATTATTATAAACCAGAAAATGCTTAATGTTTCTAAAGTTTGTGACAACCTCAAATGAGACAAAGAAGAGAAGCTCTGAAGAGATTAATGGATAATACTTCGAATTTATTATGGACCACTAGTACTACTTATGAATACTATTAAAAGCTAACATAATGGTACTATTACTATGATGACAACAATGGCAGTTTATTAAGCCTGTACTTTAGGCCAGGAACTAATTAAGCACTTTATATAATCTAATCCCTAAAACATTATACGGCAGGTATTACACCCATTTTCAGATGGGGATAAATGAACTGTGAGGTTCAAAGAACTTGTCAATAGTTATAAAACTTAGAGAGTGAAGAATCAAACCTAGATCTGAGTCCAAAGCACATGTACTCATCCCTCATGCTATGATGCTCCCCCACAAAGCAAACATTTAAACAGAATTGGTCGTATAATGATATCATATAGAAAAATAAGACAGGAACGTAGACATCCCTGTAACTTTTTTCAGGTGTTGTAATATTATAAATAATAACAACTATGTAGATTAAAAAAATACAAATAACTACTCTTGCCACGAAAGAAAAAAGTATGCTAAATAGGCCATATATATGGAAACATGCTTAATGCTGAAATAGCATGTCCCAGTTTTAATAAAATATTTACACGCATTTAAATACAAACAGACCACAAATAAAGGGCAGTGGATCATCCTGTGCCAGATAAGTAGAAACATAAAAAACTCTCTACTGCACTAGTTTTTACCATATTTTTAAATATACAGTATTAAGATCCAGAATCTTGAGGACATTAGGCGGAATGAAATAAACCAATAACAAAAAGACAAATACTGTGACATCTAAGTAGTCAAATGCACAGAATCAAAGTAGAATGGTGGTGACAAGGGACTGGGGAAAGAAAGTGGGGAGTTGTTTTGCCAGATAAAAAAGTTCTGGAGCTATGTTGCACAACAATGTGAAAATGCTTAACACTACTGAACTGTACACTAAAAATGATTAAGATGGTATAACAAAAGAGATTAAAAATGATTAAGATGGTATAATAAATAGCCATAGATAGATACACATCAATAGAGTACTCTTGCTGCATTAATACAGTAGCTACTGGTTGCAAGTGACTATTAAAATTTACAGTAAGGTTTTTTTTTTTAGGGCCTCTCCCCACTGTGCCCTTTAGCTACTCCAGACCTGCACTAATTCTGGGCAGTAATTCCATCAGCTCTGGCCAAAGTTCTGGAATTGAGAGCCTGACCTAAGGCTCCTTCTCACACTGAAGCCAAAAACATCCCCATCAAAGAAAATGGCTGGGAACTGGTAAGGGTATCCTCATCATCTCCCCAAAAATGATGTGTTGTAATTAAAAAAAAGAATGAATGCTGAGTAGGCAGAACAACATATGTTCACTACATGAACTAATAGAATTTATATTAATTTTTAAAAATTAAAACTTTATTTCCTCAATCACATAGCCACAGCTCAATTGCTCAACAGCCACATCGGCTATTCAAGACAACACAGACACCGAACATTTTCATCACAGAAAGATCTATTAGATAGCACTGGCTCAGAGTATATAGAAACAAACTCAAATATATATGGGAATTTGAATTTGATACAAAACTGTGTGTGATAAAGGTGGCATTTTGAATCAGCGGAGAAAGAATGACTGAGTAAATAGTGTTGGAATGATTTATTAACCTGGGAGAGAATGGGGAAGAACTGAGGTAATAAAGCAAAATCCATATCTCATCTCTTATTCAAAAGAAATTCTGAATGAATCAAACATTTGCAATTAAAAAGTAAAATGTTAAAAGTACTAACATAATTCTAATCAAGAAAGGTACAAACTTCTAGTTGTAAAAGGGGGATGTAATATATATCATGGTAGCTACAGTTAATAATACTTTATCATACATTTCAAAATTGTTAGGAGAGTAAATCTTAAAAGTTCTTAAAAGAAAAATTGTAACTATGTGTGGTGATGAATGTTAACTAGACTTAACTGTGGTGATTAATTCATAAAACACAATATATCAAATCATTATATTATACATCGAAAATAATATGAAGTTAAGTGTCAATTATATCTCAATTAAGGGAGCAAAAAGCTTTCTAAATACAATAAAAGCCCAGGAAACAAAAACAAGAACTCATTTTTTAAAAATGAAAATAAAAACTTTTAGATGAATAATGCCCAGAAAACTGAAATGTAGAGTGTGGTATGAAGCATTTTCTTAATCAATTAAAAAATATATCTCAGTGGGAAAAAGTAAATTGAAAGTGCCAATATATATAGAAAAAGATGCCTGATTCTACTCATAATTTAAACATTATTAAAAATTGCATTTTCAAACAGATGGCAAAGATTATCCCCAGTGTTAATGAGAGTGTAGGAGAATTGGCATGAAATGAGTATAAAAACTGATAAAACTTATTCAGAGGGTGATTTAAAAATATTTATCAAAAATCAAAAGCAGCAAATAATACTTATGAATAGAACAATAATGGGTCTAGGATTGACTTTAAAATAACCAAACGACTGTAAAACTTACCTGTGGAAATTGGTGTGAATATCAATGGAACAAGATTAGGAATACATTTATAGTAGTTGTAGCAGGGTGGTGGGTATACAGGGATTCATTATCTTTCACTCACTCTTTCTTTGTATATGTTTGCATTTGTCCAAAAAGTTTTTCCTAGTATGCATACCCCTTAATCCAAGAATTCCATTTCTGGGAATTAGCCTACAGTTACTTAGACAAGCATACAATAGGTACAAGAATGTTCTCTGAGGCAATAAAAGCAAAAACATGCAAACAACCTAAATGCCCATTAGAGAACTGATTGGATAAATTATGTTTATCTAAACACAGTATAGTCCTCCCTTGGTATCCGCAGGGTATCGGTTCCAGGACCCTCACAGATAGATGTTCAAGTCTCTTATATAAAATGGCATAGCATTTGCATACAACCTTCACACATCCTCCCGTATACTTTAATAATCTCTAGAGTACTTTTAATGCAATGTAAATACTATGTAAATTGTCATATTGTATTATTTATGGAATAATGACAAGAAAAAGGTCTGTACACATTCAGTACAAACAGAACTTTCATAGGCCTAACTATATAATACACATCAGCAATAATGTAACTTTTTTTTCAAATATTTTCAATGAACAGTTTGTTGAATTCAAGGATGCAGTCTCCATGGATACAGCAGGTTGACCATAGTCATACTTTTAAAAGTACAGAGATAAATTATATATGGAGGGAGATTATGGAAAGGTGGGAAAATATTAAGGGAAGAACAATAAGTATAGTTTAACTACATTTAAGTAAAAATAAAATCAAACGTGGATTTGTGAATGCGTATGAGATATGTGCCTACATTCCAAAAATTTCTATAAGGCTATGTGAAAACCTTAATGGTTACAACTGATTGGGCGGGGGATGGGAGATTGGAAATCTGTAAGGCGTAAACGTTTATTTTTTTCAAACATTTTATATTGTTAATTTTTTTTGCAGGTAAACACACTGCATTCATTACATTTATAATGAAAAATAACTAGGTTTTTAAAAACCCTTCTACTGAGATGTCATTCATTTAGGAACTGTCAATGTTAAGGGTCAATGCTGTGAAAGCGCCTGTCTCAAAGCACACTTCAATCTTACAGAGCAGAACAGAAAAGCTGCAGTTCTCACTGCTGACCCTATCTAAGGGCTCTTACCGTACCTCTATCTCAGCCCTGATGATCAAACTGAAAACCTAACACGATATCAAATAATTGCCCTAAAGATGCAAGTGAGATCCTTCCTGGGTGTTAAACAATTAACAATATTTATTGAGTATATATGTGCCTAGTTCTGTGGGGGATATAAAAAAATAGGATTATAGTCTTGCTCAAGAAGTTTAAAACCTCATAGAAAAAAATATGCATACAGAGTATAGAGAATAATTAATGCTATGCAGACATATTATGCACTCAGAAAAGGAGAATTCAGTGTGGGAAAGAATAGTCAGGGCTCATGGAAAAAATAAGACAGAGTCAATCTTAATACACACACTGGATTTAGATACATAGAAGGGAGAGGATTACAGGGAACTACCAGAAAGAATGCACGGAATAAAAAATTGAGATAGACTCAGTATGACTAGAGATGGGGGTGGGTAGGAAGAATTATAAAATGAGTAATATGTAGGAGTAAAGTTCAAGGTGATATATTTTTATCAAACCAATCAAATATTTAAGATTTTATAAAATAAGCAAAGGGGAATTTTCATAAGTGTTTGGCAGCAATAGTGTGCGAGGTGCGGTAAACTATTTGCATGTCTTTGTTCCTTTTTGCTTGTTTTCTTGACATGAAAAATAAAATAACAAACATTGTTTCAATACCTCATTTCCAGACCCAGATTCTAGTGGTCTCTTTTTCCTTGGTCCAATAGCTGCAAGAGCTGTAAGGTTAGCATCTCTATGCTGTATCTGCGCAAGCTCCAACTGTTGTAACTAGAAGATGGAATGAAAAAAAAAAAGCAACATTTACACACAGTCATGCTCAGAGGAGGAATGAAACTGATCTCTAAGCCTGTTTCTATGTTCCTCACCAAATAAGCTATAGTGTAAAACAGACATTAGACTTTCCTAACATCCAAAGGCACATCATTTCCTGATTCATTTACTCCAACAAACTTTTAGTCCTGAATCTCTGAACCTCTAAGAAGCAGAATTTAGGTAAGGAAGAAGTACAGAGTAGAGGAAAAAGAAGAAAGGCATCTAGAACTTAATCTCTTAGTTTAGTCAGAGGTAAGAAATGCATGAAGAATAAATTAAACAGTAAATTGGAGAGAAATTGTTGAAATTATTGTCAACCTTTTAAGATTAAAAATAAAGACAATTTTTAATATTTTACAGGAAACAATTCAGTGCTGTATGATTTACAAAGCACTTCTCTAAAAATTAACTCATTCAACTCAACCACACTGAAAGATACATATTAATTGTTATAACATGGAAATTATATATATACTTCATCTCTCCTCCCCCGCCCCCGCTTTTTTTTACTAAGGAAGACAGTGAGGCTCTAAGAGTTTAGAAAAACTTCATAAAGGTCACACAAATATTAAGAGGGAAAAAAAGAACTCAGAGGCAAGTGTTCTCATTATAAACCTTTTTAATACAGCACACTTTCTCACGGATTTACTCTGTATCTCTTCATGCCAAAAACTGAAAGTGAGTTAGCACTGTTTTGTTGTATAGCTTTCATCATTCTTAATCCAAAATGACCAAATCTGCAGAGTATAATTTTTTAGTATGTAGGTACTAAACTATACAGGGGTATTAACGAAAGATACACCACTAAAAGTCAGAGAAATAAGACATTAAAACTGAAAAATAAAAGCATGAAATACAGTATCATTTTACCAAGGCAGGTAAGTGTCAAATGGTATTCTTTAAAAAAAAAAAAAAAAATTTGAAAAGCACTGATTTAGTCTAATCTTATAAAATATCACTACACAGATCCTTAAGCTTTTCCAGAAGAGGAAGAATGCTCAATTCCTATCAAAATCTTATTACGATGGAGGGAAAGGAAGAAAGAACCTGACCCTGGTTACTAGAGAAATATTCAAACAGGATCAGACTTCAAGACAGTCAACTGAAAGTAACCTACTGGGGAGCCTTTTACACACACACACACACACACACACAATTCTTTTAAAAGAGCATTAATCAAATTTTTAACATATTTAAAAAAATATTTAACATATTAAAAAAAAAGCAGGATGAAAATAGGAAATAGTACGTGATGAAACAAGCAGTCTCTAGGAAATATAATGTAAAGGTCACTTCAGGTTATTTTAGATGATGACAAAGAATAAGCCATAAGTAACTGAATCTGTGGTAAAGCAGAAAACACTAAAGAAAATGAATTAAGAACCATTTCCATTTGCTCTACAAATTACAGGGCAGTTATCCATCTTCTAAACTGTGTGTTTACTTAGCTGTAAACTATCTTTTGTTGATGCTGACCTTTTAAATCAAATATATGGTTTTAGAGTCCGATGCTGTCACATCCTGAAATTCTAGTGACAAAATATGATTTTAGTTAATCTACCCTGCAGCACAAATCAAACAAGCTATATTTTAAAGTCATCCCCTGTAGAGAAATGGTATTTGCAAGATAGTCACACCAAATAAAAAGTTTTTAAATTGACCTCAAATTTCTCTCCCTGTGTAGTAAAACATTTTCTCCCACTCTGCAAATTAAACTTTGGTTTTCTGAAATTTCACACATGATATGGTAGAAGATTCTTCAAAACTCTAGCAAAAATCAAACTGAATATAGTTTTGATTGGCCCTATATTTACAATTAACTTTCTCAAAAACAAATGTATCTCGTCCAGCACAATATGGAAAAACTAGGCATTTTTAATTGGAACAGAAGGAAGTTCCGTGCATTAATGCAGACTTGGCACACACAGTGGATGAAGATGAAGCTCAGTTCAGTAAAAACAGTCCACCATTGAGTTAGAGGTTTGGAAACAGGATTGCAAAAGACATGATTACCTACACAGAAAACCTCAAGTTAGCTACAAAAAATTGAAAATCGAAATCCTCCTATAACTAATAAATGAGTTTTGCAAGGTTTCAAGATGCAAGGTCAATATATACAATAATCCTATTTCTAAATACCATTAAGGTGCATTTGGAAAAATTAGTTTTTAAAAATGCCACTTATAGCGCCTCACCAAATGAAATACTTAGTATAAATCTAATGTACAGATATTTGTATGTTATAAATCGTAAAACGAAGATAAAAGTAAGAAAAGAAAATAGGTAAGTAGAGAGACATATTGTGTTCATAGATTATAAGAGTCAACACAATTAATTTTAATTCTCTCCAAACTGATCTACAGATTTATTAATTTTTTATAGATATGAATAAGTTGATTCTAAAATTTATATGGGAAGGCAAAGGAACTGAAAAGCTAAGTTGGTTTTCAAAAAAGTATACAAAATTGGAAGAATTACTATGCATAATTTTAAGAATTATTGTAAGGTTACAGAAATCAAAATAATGTGGTATTGACAAAGGACAGACACATAAATTAATGAGACAAAACAGAGAACTGATAAATAGATCCATATAAATATTGCGAATTGATTTTGTGGAAAACAATTCAATTGAAAAATCAGTCTTTTCAACAAATATTGGTGCAACTGTACATCTACAAGCAGAAAAAAAAAACTATCTTGACCTCAACACCTCACCTTTTACATAAAAATTAACTCTAAATGTAAACTACAAACTTCTATCAAAAGGCAGAAGAGAAAATCTTCATAACTTGGGGCCTGGCAAGGAGTTCTTAGTTCTTGACACTCAAACTAGTTCCATTAAAAAAAATTCTTTTTCTTTTGATGAACTGAACTTCATCAAATTTAAAATTTTGGCACTATAAAAGAAATACTTAAGAAATAACGAAATAACAACTTATTTTATTTCTTCCCCTCTACCTATATGCCTTTTATTTCATTTTCTTGCCTTATTGTACTGGCAAGGACTTACAATATAGTGTTGAATAACAGTGATAAAAGCAGACATTCTTGCCTTTTTCTAATCTGAAAGAATGCTGTCAGTCTTTCACCATTAAGAATGATGTTATGAGTTCCAGTAAGGATAGTAGAGTACGTAAACACTGTGCTTGCTTCCTCTCATGACCACATCAAAATTACAACAAAACTACAAAACAACCATCATTGAGAATCACCTGAAGTTTAGCGGAAAGAAGTCCTATAACTAAGGGTATACAGAAGAAGCCATGTGGAGACTGGTAGGAGGGACAGAGACTCAGAACAGGATCCACACCCATGTATGGCAGTTAAAAATTGGTAGGGATATCTCAGCTGCAGAAGTCCCTCCTGAGGAGCGAGGAGTCCCAGTGCTTGGAAGAGAAATACTCATAACTTCTGGCTGTAAAAACCAGTGGAGATAGTGGCTGAGTAAGATAAAGGGCTGCTGGAGACCCAGGGATTCCTTTTAAAGGTTCCGCATATGAACTTACTTGTTGATGGTTTCACCTGCTGGGAGATCCAGAGCTGTGACAGCAGTGTGAAGGGTGCCAGGGACATATGAGGAAGAACTGAATTGTTTGGCTTCAGGGCAAGGGCTGGAGGGGCAGCTTTCTCCCAGATAAAAGTTAGGGTAGAAACCTATGTTTATCAACATAGTTAACACTGTTTGCCCTGCCCCGGTGATTCTGAGGCCTCACCCCACCTGAGCCACTTCCGGTGGCTTTTCCATACAAAATGCCTATCTTGGCTCAAGCTGCAGACAGACTTTCCTAGAATCTCGCAAAGGTTCGTAAACCCCAAATAAACAGCACTGGCCTCAGTGTGCCCTGTAGCTCTTGCTAAGCAGCCCCAAGCTTGGCACTAGCAGCAGCCAGCCTCGGTTCACAGCTTAGCCTCTCCCAGGCACTTCCAAGCCCAGCACAAGCAGTGACCATCTGCAGATCACTTTGTAGCACATACTAACTGGCCCTAGGCATGGCACAGACAGCAGCTGACTTTGAATAACAACGGAGACCCTCTAACGAGATCCCAGAACCAACATATCCAGTGACAACCTTCAGACCACACCAGACCACCATCCAACCGCCTCCACAAATGACACATCCAAAGGGCAGACTGGGCAGGCATCAGAGCCCTGCTAAAGCAAATCTTGCTCCAGAGGATCAGCTCCTGCACAATAGCTCCTTCACGGTAGTCACAGCCAGTCCTCACAACCAATCAGCTTGAGGTTTAATCCCTTCTATTGACATGCAAACAGCAACAAAGGCTCAATTACAACAGGAGGGCACACACAACCCACACAAGGGACACACCTGGAGGAACTGGCTCAGGTAACCACAGGTCACCTACTAAATAAGGCCACTCTACTAAGACTGGAAGATATAGAAGCTTTGCCTAACACATAGAAACAAACACAGGGAAGCAGCTAAAATGGGGAGACAAAGAAAAATGTTCCAAATGAAAAAAAACAGAACAAATCTCCAGGAAAAGAACTAAAACAAAATGGAGATAAGCAATCTACCAGATACAGAGTTCAAAACACCGGATATAAGGATGCTCAATTAACTTAAGGGAAGAGTAGATGAAGTTGGTAAGAACTTAGAGATAGAACACATAAAAAAGAACCAGTCAGAAATGAAGACTGAAATGAAGAATACATTAGAGGGAATCAACAGTAGATTACATGAAACAGAGGATCGAATCCGCAATTTAGAAGATAAGGTAGCAGAAAACACCCAATCAGAACAGCAACAAGAAAAAAGAATCCAAAAAATGAGGATAATTTAAGGGGACTGTGGAATAACATCAAGCATACCAACATTCACATCATAGGAGTACCAGAAGAAGAAGAGAGAGAGAGCAAAGAATTGAAAACCTATTTGAAGAAATAATGACAAAAATGTCACTAACCTGGTGAAGGAAACAGAATACAAGCC